TGTCCTGGATGTCTGGTCCTATTCAAAAAGGCGTATGAACCGAACTCCGGTCACCGGCTGCCAATGCATAGTGGACTCCCTACTCCACTCCTACTGCCTTGTAGGTCACACGTGGTTGTGTAAAGGCTAGAGATGCACTCTCAAACGAAAGGCCGAGCGATTCTGGGGACATCACTCGTACCAAATTCCCATGAAACTTCGTGAACTGTCTTAATTGGATAACCCTGTCGCAAAACGTTGCGTCAGATCGCCGCTCCTGGGCAGCGATGATTCGAGATGTTCATGAAGCCGGCTCATCCTCCCGTAGGAAATAGCCGAAGTAAACTAAAAAAAAAACTACGCGCAATCTGTTGTTGTTTCTCCGTCTCATGTGTTAATTGCCAACTGTCCATGATGATTGTATGCGTCTTGGTTTACGTGATGATGACGAATGTTGAGGGTGGTTGTGGTGTGAAGTATTTACGCCTAGTCGTTGAGGTATGTTTGCGTGAGTTTGTCGATTAGACGCGGATCCTAAGAGTTTTACTATGTTGAAGTAGATATCGTTGTGAGAGAGTACTTTTTGAAGAGCCATGGAAAACGAATTGATTTGACACAGATGATTTCCTTTAGTTGCTGTCTCCTTAGCAGTATGCAACCTGCTCACCTGCTAGGGATGAAACCGAAGACTTTCAGCTTACCCGTGTAGACCCCTCTCTGTGTAAGCGAAGACTTGAAATTCAATGTCCGGTTAATCCTGACAATCTATGAATCCGCGATCTTCCTGTGCCTGTGTGTCTGTGAGAGTTTCAGTGTGTCATAGATTGGTTTGGTTGATGATGACGATGATGTACGTGTATGCAGTAGTGTTGTTTGTCATGTGTTTTGGTAGATAGAGGGAGTAGCCATTCAGCTGCCCCATGCATATATGGTGCATGGAGGGTCGTTCCACATGGCTGAGAGTGAATAGATGCACTTCTACGCCCCTTGTCCATTGTTGGGACTTGACGGGTACGATGTGTAGGCGACATGGAATTTCTCCTCGGTTGTTAGTATGTTGTATTGTATGTTCTGTAGCCATGTATTTGTGTATGTGTGTGTGTGTGTGAGAGAGAGAGATAGAGAGAGTTTTTGTTTGTGCTATGATTCACCTATGTTTCGCTAGCTGTCATACTGCATCGTTCATATGTGTGTACGATGTCGTTTAGTCAGCTGATATAGGTGCAGTGCAATTAATGCACATGCGTAAATATTTTGTGCTATGCGGTTTTTCAAGTAGGTGTGAGGTCAAGGAGGAGCACATTTTTCACGTGTGTTATGTGCAGAGTTGATAGTTTCCTGAGTAGACATTTGTGCATTGATTAGTGGCCATGTATATCTTTATAAGTGGATATATATATGTATATATATATATATACATATTTATATGTAACCACTGTAAGTGAAGTATTGATTGTATGTAAGGCGTCTCTTGGTGTCCATATTGTTTCATGTTTGTGTTTGAATAAATAGTAAATAATTGAATGTATGTATTGCCCTTCCTTACTGTATATCTGTGTATTCGGTAGTTCAATTATTGTGGTGCAGTGTAGCCATTCAGCTGCCCCATGCATATATGGTGCATGGAGGGTCGTTCCACATGGCTGAGAGTGAATCGATGCACTGCTATGCCTCTTGTCCATTGTTGGGATTTGATTGGTACGACGTGCAGTCTACACGCAATCTGTTGTTGTTTCTCCGTCTCATGTGTTAATTGCCAACTGTCCATGATGATTGTATGCGTCTTGGTTTACGTGATGATGACGAATGTTGAGGGTGGTTGTGGTGTGAAGTATTTACGCCTAGTCGTTGAAGAATGTTTGCGTGAGTTTGTCGATTAGACGCGGATCCTAAGAGTTTTACTATGTTGAAGTAGATATCGTTGTGAGAGAGTACTTTTTGAAGAGCCATGGAAAACGAATTGATTTGACACAGATGATTTCCTTTAGTTGCTGTCTCCTTAGCAGTATGCAACCTGCTCACCTGCTAGGGATGAAACCGAAGACTTTCAGCTTACCCGTGTAGACCCCTCTCTGTGTAATCGAAGACTTGAAATTCAATGTCCGGTTAATCCTGACAATCTATGAATCCGCGATCTTCCTGTGCCTGTGTGTCTGTGAGAGTTTCAGTGTGTCATAGATTGGTTTGGTTGATGATGATGATGATGTACGTGTATGCAGTAGTGTTGTTTGTCATGTGTTTTGGTAGATAGAGGGAGTAGCCATTCAGCTGCCCCATGCATATATGGTGCATGGAGGGTCGTTCCACATGGCTGAGAGTGAATAGATGCACTTCTACGCCCCTTGTCCATTGTTGGGACTTGACGGGTACGATGTGTAGGCGACATGGAATTTCTCCTCGGTTGTTAGTATGTTGTATTGTATGTTCTGTAGCCATGTATTTGTGTTGTGTGTGTGTGTGTGTGAGAGGGAGAGAGAGAGAGAGTTTTTGTTTGTGCTATGATTCACCTATGTTTCGCTAGCTGTCATACTGCATCGTTCATATGTGTGTACGATGTCGTTTAGTCAGCTGATATAGGTGCAGTGCAATTAATGCACATGCGTAAATATTTTGTGCTATGCGGTTTTTCAAGTAGGTGTGAGGTCAAGGAGGAGCACATTTTTCACGTGTGTTATGTGCAGAGTTGATAGTTTCCTGAGTAGACATTTGTGCATTGATTAGTGGCCATGTATATCTTTATAGGTGGATATATATATGTATATATATATATATATACATATTTATATGTAACCACTGTAAGTGAAGTATTGATTGTATGTAAGGCGTCTCTTGGTGTCCAAATTGTTTCATGTTTGTGTTTGAATAAATAGTAAATAATTGAATGTATGTATTGCCCTTCCTTACTGTATATCTGTGTATTCGGTAGTTCAATTATTGTGGTGCAGTGTAGCCATTCAGCTGCCCCATGCATATATGGTGCATGGAGGGTCGTTCCACATGGCTGAGAGTGAATCGATGCACTGCTATGCCTCTTGTCCATTGTTGGGATTTGATTGGTACGACGTGCAGTCTACACGCAATCTGTTGTTGTTTCTCCGTCTCATGTGTTAATTGCCAACTGTCCATGATGATTGTATGCGTCTTGGTTTACGTGATGATGACGAATGTTGAGGGTGGTTGTGGTGTGAAGTATTTACGCCTAGTCGTTGAGGTATGTTTGCGTGAGTTTGTCGATTAGACGCGGATCCTAAGAGTTTTACTATGTTGAAGTAGATATCGTTGTGAGAGAGTACTTTTTGAAGAGCCATGGAAAACGAATTGATTTGACACAGATGATTTCCTTTAGTTGCTGTCTCCTTAGCAGTATGCAACCTGCTCACCTGCTAGGGATGAAACCGAAGACTTTCAGCTTACCCGTGTAGACCCCTCTCTCTGTGTAAGCGAAGACTTGAAATTCAATGTCCGGTTAATCCTGACAATCTATGAATCCGCGATCTTCCTGTGCCTGTGTGTCTGTGAGAGTTTCAGTGTGTCATAGATTGGTTTGGTTGATGATGACGATGATGTACGTGTATGCAGTAGTGTTGTTTGTCATGTGTTTTGGTAGATAGAGGGAGTAGCCATTCAGCTGCCCCATGCATATATGGTGCATGGAGGGTCGTTCCACATGGCTGAGAGTGAATAGATGCACTTCTACGCCCCTTGTCCATTGTTGGGACTTGACGGGTACGATGTGTAGGCGACATGGAATTTCTCCTCGGTTGTTAGTATGTTGTATTGTATGTTCTGTAGCCATGTATTTGTGTTGTGTGTGTGTGTGTGAGAGGGAGAGAGAGAGAGTTTTTGTTTGTGCTATGATTCACCTATGTTTCGCTAGCTGTCATACTGCATCGTTCATATGTGTGTACGATGTCGTTTAGTCAGCTGATATAGGTGCAGTGCAATTAATGCACATGCGTAAATATTTTGTGCTATGCGGTTTTTCAAGTAGGTGTGAGGTCAAGGAGGAGCACATTTTTCACGTGTGTTATGTGCAGAGTTGATAGTTTCCTGAGTAGACATTTGTGCATTGATTAGTGGCCATGTATATCTTTATAGGTGGATATATATGTATATATATATATATATATATATATATACATACGTGTATGCAGTAGTGTTGTTTGTCATGTGTTTTGGTAGATAGGGGGAGTAGCCATTCAGCTGCCCCATGCATATATGGTGCATGGAGGGTCGTTCCACATGGCTGAGAGTGAATCGATGCACTGCTATGCCTCTTGTCCATTGTTGGGATTTGATTGGTACGACGTGCAGTCTACACGCAATCTGTTGTTGTTTCTCCGTCTCATGTGTTAATTGCCAACTGTCCATGATGATTGTATGCGTCTTGGTTTACGTGATGATGACGAATGTTGAGGGTGGTTTTGGTGTGATGTATAAATTCCTAATGATTTATTTGGTCGTTGTGTGTTTGTGGTTTGGCTTGTTACATTCCGGGTAATAATTAATCTACCCTTTGTCTATATGTTTCATCTGAACCGTATTTATTCTTCATATCACTATGTGGTTTATTTTAAGGTTTATTTAGATAAATTCTGAAGGATGTAGGGAAATTATTCCATCATTCATCAACTTTCATGTCTTTATTTTGAAGTGTATAAATTCTGAGTCAACCGATAGAAGGACAAATGTAAAATGCAAAGTAATTGAACAAAGAATATCCTTTTCGATAAATGCACCTTAATCTATTTTACAATAATAAGCAGGTCATTCTAAGGGATCTGTAATTATAATATTAATTGAGTTATGCAAATGAGTATCAGTATTTTCAGTATATGTTTCATTGGTAGATTTTTAGATCACATATTCTGCTACATCAGTTTTTCATGTTTTTTTCCCGTTATTCTTGTTGAAATATAGACTTAGTGATTCTAAATGCTCAGTTTCTTAATGTATCCTTCACTCTTGCTCATATGCTTTTGTATTTATCTTTCCATTTTTCTGTTTATTTTCCTTTTTAGATTGCCTAACCGTATGGCAATGAGTATTTTGACGCCGACCACAAGCACTCAGGTTTCTGTTAGTAACAAGGTTTGTATGATTCTTGTTTTTCATATATTTTGCTATTCAGTTTGTTTGTTTGTTTTCGACATATATTCTCACATTCATCACACACGTATGATTATTATTAGATGATTGGTGCTATAATGGGACGTTCCGGCTGTCGCATAAACCAGGTTCGTCATGAATCAAACGCTGATATTAAAATCAGTAAACAAGAACCAGGCGTTGAAGATCGCATTATTACTATAACCGGTACCCCTGAACAAATCCAAAACGCTCAATTCCTCCTTCAGATGTGGTAAGTGGTTCATGTAATCTTTTACTTTTGCGTCGTAAAAATGTTTAGTCTATTTTTGTGTTGTATATTATTATTCATCAGATTAATTACAGTCATGTGATTTCACAGATTATTATTTTCTTTTGTTTTTTGAATGATTCGTACAGCGTACACATTGTTCATTAGGTATAGCTTTCAATCTGTATTTTAGTATGCATATTTGAATTATTCAAAAATTTTATATTTCATTTAGTGATTTGCCTTTTCGGTTGTTTACTCCTTTCAGCGTTAAACGATATGGTGATCAAATGTGATGCCCTTTTTATCATCACCTTCATCGTTTACATATTTTCTTTTCTTTGACTGGCTCCGTTTCCCGCGAAACACAATTGAAATGCTATCCCCCTCCTCGATCTCATCCGTTTCCCTAATTTTTGTTGTTGTTGTGTGTGTGTTTTTTTTGTTGTTGAATGCTTTTTTTGATCATCTATCACATATACAACAATGATGATGCTGTGTTTTATGCTGTTGTTTAATGTTTATGTGGTTTTGTAAAAATTGATGACTTGTTGCTATTCTCCCCCTTTATGAATGAAATTCCCCAAAGTAATAATAATAATAATAATATGAATTTTATTGAGATGAATTTAGTGTTTTGTTTTCATGAATCGGTGTATCGTTATGCATCATCCACATTCCACGGAACATCTAGTCATATACTCGAAGACCTGTTGTGTTGTTCTGTCTCTTGGAGTTTTATTGTTTCACTACAAGTGTTGTGTGTGACCACGTTAACTTTGTGTATTTCTTCAAAAGGTGTGCTTTTGCTTAAGACCTTCAAATGCCTATAGCGGTTAAACAAGGTGTAAGTAAATTTAGAAGAAGAACTGTTCTCTTACGTGTTGTTGGAGTCAAAGATTATTCTTTCAAATTAGTTTCAGTTACTATTTGTTGTAGTCTTAATGAAAGGGAAAAGGTCATCGTGTGATAAACTGAAATGAAGATATTATTTATCTGAATCGTGCACCTCATTTCAAAACAATCTGATTACACACGTACTAGTCATAAGAATATATAATGAAAATAATAAGGCTTTAAGGAGTTAGAGAATAAACCTAGGTCGAGTTAAACAGCTATATTTGAAGGTCAAATAACAATGGCTGACTGGTTTCAACTTAGAACTTCTCACCGATGTTCAGCAGTTCGAGTCGCCACACTCCATCCTTATAGTGAAGAGAGATAATAAAGAGAAATGCGAGGCAAAAGGAACAGTAATATGGATATGACAGATCACAAAGAGTGAAGGCATCTACGCCAGACATTGAGAACGACAGTTTTGAGCCATATCACCAATTGTCTCCAGCCTTCATTGGTTTTTACTATTCCGAGGAACCCAACCAGTCAGTCAGGAAGACTACACCTCCCTACGTGAATGTCTGGCTGGTTGGCTTAAACTAACTGTTGTGGATTTCGTTGACTGATGAAGCCATGTTTTGGTTTGACCACCCAACACTAGCTAACTCTTTTCCAACCTTATCCATCCTATGTCAGTCAGCTAACATTTCCCGTTGGTCGAAGAAGGCGATGGCATGGATGGCTAGGCTTGCATACGTAACACATGTCCTAACCCAACGACTTCTGACTAGAACTCTAGGCAATTTCGTCATGTGGCCAGTCACTGGTGAGCATAGGTGCGTACTGCTGGAGAGTCCGAAATTATAGTGAAACGACTGTACAGTATTCCCTTGTTTATTCTTTTAGTGGTTCTCTGACTGATATCAATCCGTGGTGAAACTTCAGAACAAAAAATCCTAATTTCAAGTAGGCCGCCGATTCAGTGTATCACAATAAAATAGTCATAGTAAAGTAAAATAACATTCTTACTATCATGTTGTGAATTAGCGTCGGTGATTATGGAATAGAGGTTTCGACGCCCATCTAAGTCTGATCACTAATAATGGTGATTACTAACATGACTATTTTTGTAGGGAATTATTAGTGCAGTTATGAGAAGTTTAGACATTTGTTGTAGGTAGTGATTCAGAAAAAAATTATGCATTTACTGTCATCAGTTAAACGAATAATTTCCAGAAAATAATATTTTGCATTGCTTATATGTGTCCCGCATTCTTCAAAAGTCATAACATGTTCATGTAACATAGTATCTTAGACTTTTATTGATGTTATAATTTTACATAACCTAGCCGAAAGTGAACACCTATTAGCCAAAACAATAAATAATCAGTATATACTGACGTCATCTGGTTTGTTTTTGCTGTGACCTTCTGTCTCAGAATCTACGCAATCACAGTAATGTATATTTGTTAGTTATTGTCATTAGTGTTAACTTTAATTCTTATTCAACATCAATCATGTGTTTTAATTATCTGTGAATTGGAATGTATGTGATACACATGACAGGAAGTGTAGTTTTCATTTGAATAATTATATGCTCCAAACATTTCACACCAAATTGAATTTCTAGAAAGCCCGTATTCTTTCTGAATTTGACAGCGTATATGCTTAAGAAGATATTCGGTTTTTAGTAAAAAACGATACGATAATGTACTTATTTTATCTTCTAACCATCCAAATGTACCCATTCAATGTGGACTAGAGATTAGTTAGTAGGCCAAGTCAGAATAACAACTAGATCGATCAAAATACGACATATTTCGGCATCGATATTATATACATGAAAAGTGATGCGTGCTTCACCGAACACCACCACCTTCAGCTTAACTAGTCCACCTAAAGCTGTAGAAGTCAGCACTCGATGTTATATGATGGTGATAAAAGTTGTATGCTGATAGTTTGTTTTTAAGGAATTAATAAACCACCACATACTTTTATTTAGGTGTATTTGTTTTGACTGCGTAATATTAATTATATCAACGAATTTGACAACTTCAATCACAACTTTCTAAGTGCTGTCAGTTAGTCAGAAAGTTCAGCTTTATGATTACTTAATAGACCTATACAAGTTTGTTCTGTTGTATCATTGTGTATAGAGACATGAATTAATTTCAATCTGAGACAGACATGAAATACAGGTAGATATAATTTTGATGTAATAAGCAGCTGTTAAAAATATAGTCGACATATTAGTTCATTTGTCTAAAATAGATGCTTTTATAGTTGTAATGTTTTATTTATCGCACCACTATAAACAGTAGGTGTCTTATTGTTGTTATGGTGACTTGACGATGTCCCCAACTCACTAGTTTCGTCTTGAACAATCAGGTAGTGGTATCATAGGCCCTCATAGCATTAATTGTACAGCGGTTAGGACGCCCGCCAACCATGCACATGGTCCGGGGTTCGATCCCCGGCCGACGCACACCCGATATCAATGGTCGGCCTGCTGAATTTGGGCTACCGATATCACATGCTGAAAATCCCATACTTGTATCAAAAATACTGTGCGGAGTCAAGCTATAATAAAAATATCGTTATTTTAAAAAAACAGTCTAGGTAATGCATGTGTGTGATGCATTCGTGCAAAAAATTTTGAACAATCTGTCCACACATTTATTTAATAATTCATTTTATATGAAAGGTCAGTTAAAGTAAACTAAGCAGTCAGAGAGTGAGGATAACAATAAATGAAGCTACGCTTGGTAAAATAATTAAGTAGTTAATATCCAGGTAGGTTAACAACAACAACAATATAGGGCTTGAAAAAAATTGAATCTCTGCTGAACGCCACTTTAGTATATGACATAATGGGAAATTTCAACCTAATTAAAGCTTGCGAAAACTAGGTGACGGTAAAAGAGCTGAACAGTTTTTGCCTTACTCCGTCAAGCTTGCAGTAGCGAAGACGAAGATACGTTTTGTTTTGAGAAACAGAGAGACGCAGGTTCGAATCCCAGAAGGGACATGAGTTCCTTCAAGGTTGCAGATACGCCTTGCTGATGAGCGCCAACTAGCACGAAAGCTAGGTCCAAGGCTTCCTGCCGATGCCTTCTACCACCTAATATCAACAATTCATAGTGCACCGTAATGGCGAGCCACCTAGCATGGTGACCACATCGCAAGCATGACTGATAGAATTCAGTCTGCACCAAAGAAAGGACTAGACACGTCACACTAGTTACCAGTGTGTTACCAATCCCCCAAAGAAAGCTGAAGTCTTGAATGCAATCAAACTTCTGAAAGCTGGACCAGATGGAATACCCCCGGAAGCACTGAAAGCGGACACAGAGACGTCAGCAGATATGCTGACTCCATTATTGCAAAAGGTTTGGAAGGAAGGAAAGGTGCCTATTGACTGGAAGAAAGGTTACCTCGTGAAACTACCAAAGAAGGGTGACTTAGGACACTGCAAGAACTGGCGAGGAGTCATGCTCCTGTCGATGCCAAGTAAAATTCTGAGTCGCATCATCCTGGAGAGAATAAAGGACGCACTGGATGCAGAACTCCGACCAGAACAAGCTGGATTCAGGAAAGGCAAATCATGTTCTGACCAAATTGCAACTCTACGCATTCTCATCGAACAAAGCATGGAATGGCAATCAAATCTCTACCTCAACTTCATAGACTTTGAGAAGGCCTTTGACAGCGCAGCGTTGACCGCGAAGTAATTTGGAAACTACTCGAGTACTACGGCGTACCCCAAATATTCATCAACCTTATTCAACAGCTGTACGACAACGGTACCTGTCAAGTGATCCACAACGGAAAACTCAGCGAGGCGTTTGGAGTAAACACAGGAGTCAGACAAGGGTGCTTATTATCACCAGTGATATTCCTAATTGTGGTAGACTGGATTATGCGTCAGACAGTGGGAAACGAGAAGACAGGAATATCCTGGACCGACGTGAAGAACCTAGAAGACCTGGATTTCGCGGATGATTTACGTTTGATGTCACACAAAATCCAAGACTTACAAGCGAAAACGAACAAACTGGCCGAAGAAGCATCAAAGACAGGACTCCAGGTGAACATAGACAAGACGGAGGTTATGAAAATAACCAACAACAACAACAGCAGTAGCAACATCCAGCGCCAATCACCATCAACGGGAGGGATCTGAAAGAGTTTACTTCATTCACTTGTCTAGGGAGCATTGTCTCAACTACAGAAGGAACGGACGAGGATGTCAAATCGAGCGAGAATCGGGAAGGCGAGAAACACATTCATCAACCTGAAACCAATCTGGAAATCTTCGTCACTCAACTCAGCATCAACAACAAAATTCGGATTTTCAATACAAACGACGTGAAGTTAGTCAGTTCTTCTATACGGATCAGAAACTTGGCGGCGGGTCACAAAGAATATTTCCAACAGCCTGTTGCAGACCTTTATCAAC